GTTAGTTTTTGATTAATTTCTTCGACTATAAAAAAAAAATTATTTTTAGTTTTGTTACATGGAATTTCTTTTTTGTCATGATGAGACATTAATGTTTCAACAGACAACATAAGGATTAACATGCCCTATACTTACCGTTGTATTCGAAAATGTTATCATTTCCATTGTAATTTAAAATAATGTGTTTTTGTTTGAATGACTTAAAAATAATAATAACAATAATTATAAAAAAATAAAAAGAAATTACATTTTCTGGAATGTAAATAAGTTTAATTAAATATTTTTTCTTAAAAAATTTTTCATCCAAAAAAATATTCTAAATTTCAAATATTTGTTCCATTTAGGTTTTCTATAAGTTCTAATAAACCATCCACAGTAATTTTGACATAAAAAATTGTTCTTAAGTACGCTAAAAAGTACTGATTAATCAGTTCATAGAAACAATCTCATGTATCTTTTTAACATAAAGTAATATAATCCAAATGACTTTTTTTTAAAAAGAGGGTTTAAGCGTATATGACATACTGTTAACATAACATAACTGATAGTGATTAATTGATTCATTTTGTCACGCTTTTCATCATACTAACCTTTTATTCATTACAATTATATAACCTTACAAATTATATATAATAAGGATGTTTCTTAAGAATATATTATAACTCAATTATGGTGTACTTTATGTGTAAAAATTATGAAATCAAATGATAATGTGTTTAAGCTATCGTGGATTTTCGTATTGTTTAAAATAATTATAAATATTTCCACGAAACCTAACAAGACAACAAGTCCTTTAGAACGATAGTTACACGCTTATGGTTGTAATTATATTGTCGGCTTAGCATGTATACGGTTCGGTAATTTTTCTTTAGTTCCAGGAATTACTCCAAAAAGAGACATATTATGCACTATGTGGCAAGAACTACAAAATAATGGATATATAATCAAAAACATTAACAACACATTTAGTCAAGCAGAAAAAAGAAAATCATAATCAAAATTGCTCATCGTGCAGCAATGGTGATGAAAATAAAGAAGATTNCATTTGTTATCAACAATACGACGCAAACATAAATATCAAAATTATCAGTTAACAACTGATATAAAAAGAAACCGTCAAAAACCATAAAGTGACAGTATAATTATAACCACGAGCCTGTAACTATCGCTCTAAAGATGGACCAGCGAAATCAAATAATTTCATCCAATTATTACATCGAAACATTACATCACATACTATGATTTAAATTAACTATTTTCGTTTGTCACTAACAAATTTTGTTTATATAATTTCTATTATTTGTATCCCCGTTATACTAGGATCTCCTTAACACTTAAATAATAATTTGGGGTAATTCACAATACTTTAAACATAGTTTGTCTGTACTTTAACCATGGTCTTGTGTTATATTAATTAGGAGACAGTAGGCAAATTGATACCTTTATTAAATCTATTAAAGAAAATATTCACTACAAGAACCTAAAATTTGGAAAAAATATTTCTTGATATATTTAAATCACTTGGTAAAAAGCTCACTAATTCATTTTAATTATGTTTAAAATTTTTATTAGTTAAAAAGAATGGTCAGAATAATTTTTTTAATGGGGTATGCTAATATACATTAGCATAATTAATATTATGCTTAAAAAATGTATTATGTGTATAATACCTAGTTAAGAGGAGTCATCACCTGTCTCCTTAAAAAATTTTGGAAGTATTATTGATTTTTTAATTGGTTTACGGAGTAATAAAACAAATAAATTTTTGGAATGAAAAATTTCCATCTGGGATCTCAAAATTTCGAATTATAATTTCCCTTCATATATAAATGGCAGCCAACCAATTGCTCTTGAATATTTATTAGATTTAATTATTTTTAGTAACTGTGGTAATTCAACTAATTATAAGAAAATAATTTACTCGAATAAAACAATAATTATTATTTAACCGTTATTTTATAACGGTTTTATATATATCTTAATGGCAAAAAAAGGACACTCCTATTTTTTATACCATTTTTAAGCCTCGAATATAAATATAAATTATATTACTGCAATAGAATACACAAAACTTATTATCAATGAGATTCCAAACCAAGTATATATTATAATGTTAATTATAAAATAAATACGTTCTACAGCACATTATTTTATCATTCACCATTTAATTAATAAAAAAATTAATTTAGTATTGATAATTTTATTCTTGATTTCTTTAGTAACATGGTTTTTTAAATTTAAAATCATGGGATTTTTTCATTGTCAACATAAATGTATCAAAAGCATATTTGGTAAATTGATAAAAACATAAAATTAAAAGATATTAAGAATAAATTTTTCAATATTCTAGTTATTTTTCGATTAATTAAATGATTAATGAATTGATAAAATTATGTGTTTGAATATTCAAATTTTATAATAAAAGTAACATACGATTTTAAAATATATTGTGTCATTATTTTTTATTTTTCTAGTTATCCGGTCATGCTAAAAATAACAAAAAAATATCAATAAAAACTTTATTAAAAATAATTACAACAATATTAAAGTATTTTATTTATATTTATTATTATATAAATCAGTTATTTTCAAAATTTCATATAGAAATATTAACATGCTCTCCCATCACAATAAAAATGTACCAGTAAACGTTAAGTTTTTTATGAGTTTTTTCTTTGAGGGTGTTTTCTCTCAAAGAGCACACTTATGATTTATGATACTTACAAAATTCAAATAAATTTCTGCAAAAATCTCGTTTTTATTTTCAATATACTAGAAATAAAAACCAAAAATACATTAATTCAGTTTAATTATACATTAATAATCAGAAATTATATATTTTTTTGTCTCTCACTAATTTTCCTCAGCTTTCAGTGGGCCGATTGTTATCAAAATACGTCAAAAGACAACAAATCGTATTTGTAAAATTACCATTACTTATTGAATAATGAACTTGTTTTTATAATAAAACCTAAAACATAATCTACTAAGGGTACGGGCGCATGAGTGACGTTATAACGCCCTACCATAGATATATATATATATATATATATGTGTATAACAGTATTAAATATTCGCTCAATCATGTTTGAAATCTGTCACTGTTCCATTGACATACGCGACAGCGACCTTTCTAATTTAGTCATTCGTGCCTCGATCCGCGCGTTATTCGAAATGTCGCGAATGTTCTGTCGATTCACCCCGACTTGTTCTGCCGCGTGCCCATCGAGCGGACAGCGTTTACATTTTCAACGTACGGCGCGCCTAGTTCTCCGCTTGCGCGCGTAATTTCCCCCGGTCGTTCGCCATCAGATTCGTCGTGTGATGTGCGTAGCGCGAGGTTCACCGGATGTTCCTCCGGTAAAGGCGCTACGCCGGGCCACTGATTGTTCGCGTCGAGCCTTCTTCGCTGACCCTGTTCGTGGAGTCGTCGAAAACCCCCATTTTGGGTTCGCGTACCGGAATTTCGCTATCGAGCGGCACACGGGGTGGTAAAATTTCGGTAGCTGGATTCCTCCCTTCGCTACGTAGGTTTTCCTCTAGCCGAATCAGCGTGTTGGGTTTCGTCGCGTACCATGGTAGCTGTCTGAAAGCGCATTCGCGACGTAATTTAGCGCAATTCATTTGTGCTAATGATTTCCCCGACATATTGACCGTGAATATTATGTTCATTTACAAACCTTAATAATCAAATATATTTAGCGGAGATATCTCCGTGTACGGTCAAATTTGCTACTGCAGTAGAAAACAAGTGTTATTATTATTGCTATTATTGTTATAAATTACCGCGATGAGATGGTACGGGGCTGCCGTATATGATATGGCAGCGAGTGAACAATAATAATAACGGTTCTCTGGGAATCGGCCGCTTTGACAAGGTCAGACGAAAATATACTATTTTTATCTACCAAAAGACTGTAACTATCGGCCGGAAATTCACTTCTTGTCGATATCAATAAGGTCTTGATAACAAACTGTAACCAACACTTTTCAACGACAACATTTACGGCGAATTATATTAGATAAACTGCTCTAACTTTATTTTTATAAAAAAAAAAATTTTCCCAGAGACCAGGCTAAATCTAATCCCGCTAACACATAACTATGAATAACCCAGGTAAAATTTCACTGCTGTCACCAGTGAAATTCGTTCAAATAACTATATGAACAATAAAATTTGTAAGGGAGACTTCACCATTCCAAGTTAAAACTAAAATGTAATATAATTAGAAATAACGCTAAATTAATTATACAATATAAGTTTATACCCACGACCAGTATTTCATATATCTTTATTGTGAATCGAAAGGCCAGGCACAACAGAAAAACAAAGAAATAGATGACAACAGTAACCAGAACCAATAGGATCGACCAGTTAAGGTATATGTCGTGTTACGTATCCAGTAGCACGCACTATCACTATATACATATATAGATATATATATATATATGAGGAAAATACGCTTGTCCCAATCGGTTGTTTTTGTTTTATATTGAGAAAAATATTAACACAGTTATGTAAAGGCACAGGTAAGAAATATGACTTTTTCCAAGTCGCACCTGAACACTAATTTAAATCGTAGGAGAGGTACACTACCAAAAAAAAAAAAGAAAACTAATCAGTTACGGTGTACGTCGAAAACGGCACAGAACGCAATATCCTTAATCCATATTCGGCGGCGGCCTTATCACGGTGTCAAGGGTGGGGAGACGACCGATTACAACCGATTGTCATCTTAATAGCTGGACTACTGATATCGAGAGAGACACGAGTGAGCGTCAGCCTAGCGTGACGGGCGGTGCCGTGTCAAACCTTAAGTAATTCTCATTTATTTGTTATAATATTTTTGATAATCTTACTCTTTACCCCTTTATGGGATTCGAGAAGAAACTTTTTTTAAAAAAATCAACTTTTTCAACTTAACGTTTGTAAATGTTCCGGAAATACTGCGTCTTATAAACATATGTCATATTAAAATATATGTTACGTACTATAAATTAAATAATACATTTTCCCGACGAACTGTCTTCTTTATGCAATTGGCTGCAATAGTTAAAAAACATGCTATTTTTTTGTTTGTTTTAAAATAAGGGTTTGCCATAATAATAAGTCCACCAATAAATAAAAAATTTTCATGAATCTAACTTACATTAAATTTAAATTTGTACTTATTTAGATTATTTTACTTAGTCAAAGTTAAGAAAATTTTTTTGAGTTTTTGATAACTTCAAAATTTGTATAAAAAATAGAAATCTTTTAACCCAACCTATTTTCTTTATGCAAATGGCAGTTGAAGTAGAACAAAAATAGGAGATTATGTAGCTTTTGGAATAATCCACAAATTTTTTAAAATTAAACACTATCTATAGATTTGCATCGAAACGTTTCTTATGATATTGATTTTAAACTGTCAGATATCATCTATACTAGTCCCAACTATACCGACTCCTTACTGTGCCACGACCTCAATGTTCTGCCGTTTTTGGGTATTAAATAGCAATAAAAAAGAGCAGCCTATGATTTTCTGATGAATAATAACAGTAACGTAATGTATGATATATAGTGCACGGACGTACCATTTAACTTATTTATTTACCGTTTTTATACAGTCCACTTCAAAATAATCATAATATTATTGTGTCTATTAATATTCGAAATAATTCTTGTGGGATTGAATCATCTATCCACAGATCTAACAAGCACTATGTAATCTATAGCTTATAACTAAATCTCAAAAGTCACAAAAATGAGGTTTTAAGAAATTTATAATTTGTATAGAAAGGATGTTTTCTGTCGTGAGTCAAAAAGTATATTCTATTCAATTTAAGAATACCCATTTTGTTGCATTAAAATGATAGTCAACAGACGAAACGATGTGCTCTTATTGGCCTCTGACGTCGATAACATTCGTTTATAAGCATGGGTCGTTTTCATTGTCGTAAAGTGAGTGGATTACCAATATAATATATTATTATTAGTGTATGCTACCTTAAAAAATTTTCGTACACCAATCGGTATACCGACTAAATTGTGCGGAGTATATATGTGTACCAATCAATTTTCCATATTGATCGGTCCATTGAACACTCTGTATTATACACGAGGGATTACAAATACAGGGAGATAATTAGCTTTTTTATGATATTGCTTTCACAGATATGGAGCGTTTAAATTAACTCATGATTTCATTAACAGATGTGCTGNGATATGGAGCGTTTAAATTAACTCATGATTTCATCAACAGATGTGCTAAAGTGAGACACATTGGTCTTACAACTACACTTTAAGCATTTCTGTAGATTAAGTCGTGAGTTACAATAAACACTCCATAACTGTGAATAAGCGACGTCATAAAAAAGAAATTAGCTACCTGCAATTGTAATCCTTTGCATATTATACATGTATATTAGCTCAAAAATATGAAACTTTAAATGTTTTTATCTAATAAACAAATAAAGTTATATTATGTTGTATTAGTTAATATGGGTTAAGATAAAATAGTCATTCTGTATATCTATCTTAAAATCGTATAACTTATAGTTATAAGCTTAAAAATATTTTATTTAAAGGGTTTTGGAAAAATAATAATTTTATGTTACTCACTCTCAATTTCTTTCGTAGGCAGCTTACAATGAAAATAATGATTTAAAATTTTGTTTACATACTGAACTGGGCAAGACGATTATTTTTGTTTTTTACATCTCTAACCTAAAAACTACTAGTTTACATCTTATTGAGGTGTGCATCAAAACCCTGTGTTCCCCTATTATTAAAAATGTAATAATGTTTACTTAAAATAATTCTCACCAATATTAAAGGACTACACCGTAAATATTTCTAAAATAAAAGATATTATGGTAGATTGTTTTTATTAAATATTACAAAATGATAACACTATCTGGGTGGTAACAATACACAATAAAAATTTACTTCTGAAGGTTTGAACAAATGTCTCTCCTCTTTCAACTCAGTCGTTGTATGCTATAAATAACCATTAAATGTTAATATTATTGACTTAAATTTCAAAATAGTTGATTCATAAAATATATTGAAGTTAATAATAATAATAATAATAATTAAACCTACATAACCAAGTCCTTTGTGGGAATTATCTACTATCACTTCATTCTGTATAAAAAAAAACAGTTAGCATTAAAAATTATTCATTTAAATAACAACACTTTAAGGTGTATATGAAAAATAAAACTATATAATGTCTATCTTAGTTCTAAGAAAGTGTTAAATTTAATTGGTATCTTATACTACAAATTTCACATGACAATTAAATAAAAAGTATCTATACTAAACTGTTAAATTAAATATCATTTAATAAATTATTAAATAAATTACCCCGACAATTAAAAGTATATTTCCAATGACTTCTTCAAAAAAATATCCACACATAAAAATTAATAAAAAAGAATTTATTTTGTAAAACATTTCACAAGAATAATTATATTTATATAATATAACTGACCGAATAATAACTTAGAATATAGTTTATTAAATTTCTTTTAATTGAACGGGGTAAATAAAGAAACACACATTAAAAATAAGCGAAAATTATTTTAAAGTAATAATAACATATTATTCACATTTTCTATGACAATAATATATATAAATTATACATTTTTTTTTTATATATATGACGTGTGATAAAAATTGTTATTTACTTTTACACTTTTTAAATTTAAAGAGATTTAATAGAATAAATTAAAAAAAACATAATGAATAAATTCTAAATTTTTTATCAGTAAAACTAAATTTTAATATGCCTATAATATATTTATTTGTTTTTAGCATCAATTCCAAACTTAAAGGGCACGTTAAACATTTTTAACGATAAATGAAATTTATTATTTTTATTTTTGTAATAGTCACCATATTTCTTAATTTTCTCTGGTATGATTTTACTGGACAATACATGAAATGATCACAAATCATATGTAGTTGAAGTTATTAATATCAAAAATAGTAAAACTATCTCATTTCCTATAAATAGGAAATATCCTAAAAATTTTTAATTTTTAAAATGAGTAAAATTCAGCATTTTTAAATATATTTACTTAAAAATGCCATTTTTCAAGGTAAGTGTAGTGGTAAAGAAATTATTATCTTTTGTATTAATTAGAAGAGAATGGTAACATAAATAGGGGATATGAGTAAAATATTTATTTAATTTAACGTATCAAACTTGCATTCGACCTATATCTTATCTCGTGCTTTTCCAACATATCCTTACTATTATTTATTAATTTCTTCATTTTATTGTGATGGTGTCACGTTACCATTATTGTGAGAATTATTTTAATAAAATACAGACAGCACATCCGCTTCCTGAGACTGATGAATTAACAAATAGTATTGATTGCCAAATTGGCAATAATTCTAATTATTATAAAAACCCAAAAGACCTGACCATGATGGTCAGTCGACTCCAGTGCCTTGTGTCATTCATCAGTCTCAGTACTCGGTTGTCGCTGTCCGGCTTACTGTTTAAAGTAAAGTCTTTGTTTATTCCTTTTCTAACCTATATACTCTTTTCCTCGACATTTCAGAGTACTTGTGTCTTGCACTTCGTCTGCACCTCGTACTCTGTTATCTTTCCTCACCTGGTACGCCTAGTATTTGTGTCTTGCACTTCGTCTGCACCTCGTACTTTGGGCTCCTTTTGCGTACACCTGGTATTTGTGTCTTGCACTTCGTCTGCACCTCATACCTAGGTGATACCCTTATTCCCTTCCTATAACAACAGCCTTTCGAACCCACAGCTAACCCGGAGTGTCAGCCGAGTACGGTGACTGCTGTACGATAACACGCACGTGAATACCTAGACAGCAGGCACCACATCCCCATATTCATTTTCGTGCACATAAACGTTTACAGGACAGTTTTATTTTAATTGTGTTACGACATTATCACAAATATTTCTAAAATTCAGCATCCTATTAACTTTATTAAATACAAGTTTATATATTTTGATTTTTTAAGTATATTACAATTCATTTTTCATAAAAAATAGATACAAATATAGTTAATTTTTAAAAACTATAGTAAAAATAAATCTAGCTTATTTAAAATAAACTTGTATAGTTGCAGCCACCGAACAGTGACTATTGCTCCGAAGATGGACTCTGAATTGAGTCCGAACGTCAGCACTCAACTACAAACATGGATACATTCTCAAGGACTTCAAATCATATGACAATCAATGAAAGCTTTAACACATTCATAAATAAATATTAATTGATTTTATCAAATTACTATAAATAATTACGCCACTGAATATAATCATGACTTCTCTATAAGCGCGCGATGTTTTATCAATGTTATCAATACAGGAACCTATAATTAATACTGTACTACTAAATGGAGAATAATTTAAATAAAATTGTATATGGTCGATAACCAGTATTGTATTATTACTTTTTGAGTTTTTATAATTATTAGTAATAGGCAAGCAAATTAAATAAATTAAAATCCTTTAAAATTCTTCAATATTTAATTAATGACTTGAAATTAATTATATCAAATAAAGTGTTCAATATACAAATTAAGTCATCATGGTAGATTTAATATCTTTTCAACTTTTTAATGAAATTATAATTTGTTATAACCAGGGCTCGGGACTTTTAGCATTTGCTAGAAAATGCTTTTTTTTGCTATTTTTGATGATTTAATAAAAAACAAATGCTTGTTTCTTGTTTTTGTACATTAAAATATTTTCTTTATGACGCAGCCTACCCAGTTTTTTTTTATCGGTTTTTGATTGATCTAATAAGGAAAATAATTCAATTGCCTTCCTTGTTTGTAGAGTTTTGTCTTTGTTATCTTATCTATTTGATAGCCAACGCCGTCCTCGGCATCGTTAACTTCTTTAGCTTTGGTTGAAGTGTCATACTAGTGTGGTACTTGGTTGATTTCCTTTTTATAATGGATTTCTCGGTAAACAATATTTTTAGAACGTTATGGCATACTGGGATATCAACACAAATTAATATTTAATTTTTCAAAAAATCCATAAACAAGATATTATTTAACATTTCTTGTCATTCAACTTTGAATGTCAAAGTCAGACATCATTTTGATTCTTTCAGAATTAATTTTCTTTTTGTATTTTTAATTTTAATTTATAATTAAAAGAATAAATTAATTAAATACCCGTATTTTTTTTCAATGAAATAGTTTCATTTTAATGGTATTTAATCCTAAAGTCCTAAAAAAGTATATTCAGCACAATTACAAATATTAAGTACTTTATTATTTAAAAGAAAATTAAGAAATTTTGGGAATTTTTGGAATAATTTTTTTATTTATAATTGCTTATTTGAGTGCTTTTTTTTATGTTTTATAGTGCTTTTTTAAGCGCTTTTTTTGATGATTTTAAGTGCTATAAGTCCCGAACCTTGGTTATAACGCAAAATCATATACTTCTTTTTATCGCATTAAGCTTCGATGCGAAGCTATCGACTAAGGTTAAAACACTGATACAGTGACACAAGTATTACTTCAGAAGGGCAGCTGCACATATAAAAGCTTTTGGGATTCACAGAAATCGTGCCATAATAAGAGTGTCCCAAAAGTCAGATGACTTTTTACTATCATCGACTACGACTGTTACCCATATAGTCTAAGATATTAACTTAACTTAGCTATTATCGAGATAGTGCGAGAGACGAAGCTGACAGTACTCTACACACCCACTTCCGGTGCAAGGTACAACTCTTTGGAGTTTTTTTACCAACTCTCCCAATATAACGAGGAGAGTGCACACCACATTGTAAATTAGCTCTTGATTAACTTCACACTGATTCACAACGTAGTAGTGTGAATTATAGAGACGGCGTGAGTTAACCTGAAGTAATGCTAACAACAACAGTTCCGGCGTAGCTCACAATAATGCGGGTTGTAGAAAAAGTACCAGTTGTCCCAAACACTGTTAATTATATTCTATTGTGTGGCAGCTGATCTCTAACGTATTTGCTTTACTTACCCCTTGCCCACCACAGTAAATCAATAGTCTATGTGTACATTTTAATATGTATTTAAGGGCCCCCCACTATACCCTAAATTTAAGATTAAAAAAACTCATTGAAGAACCTTTAATATATGTGGTTATTTGTTATTTGATTGCCTATTCTCATTATGTATTGGATGTGCGGGTATTCGTCATCCACACAGGTGACCCTTCTCTCGCTTTAATAATAGTGATTTAAAAACGCTTAAAGTAAAACGACATTCTAGTACGGTGCACAAGTATCCGTCTTACGGTCTACCTGTCTCGTACGAAACAAACAAAAAGAGAAACAAGTTATTTATGTATACTTTCATTTGAAAAACTAAAGTTGACATTTTTATAAAATATCAGAGAAAATAAAAAATACCCATGGTTAATCGATTAAAAAAAATACGTATCCAAAAAACAATTTCAAGTAGTGGGGATTAATGTGAAGTAAAAGAAGAAAGTCGCATATAAAAGAAACCAAAAGAAAACATGTATAAATAGAAGTTTTATTTTTTAATTATTTTAGTGGTTATGATAAAATCATATAATAAGAAATCACACGATCTTTAGCAGAAATACATTTTATAATGACAAATATCGACAATATACTTTATAAGTATCATATGTATAAATTATTTCATATCTAAACGTTTATTATTATTTTTTTTTTTGTCTTTTATTAATTTTAAAATGGTTGAATAAATTATTGATTACGATCGTAATTGAATTACTATAAATATTTTTGGAAAATAAATATCTACCATACTAAAAAAGTTATCAAATATTACAAATCTATTATGTTAATTCTTTCGAATTCTGCGTCAATTAACATAAAAATATGCTGAAATTTTTCCTCTAATTCCTTCTCACATATCAGTTTAAATTTGTATGTCTCATTGTCTCCGTGAGGTTTCGAAAATCCTTTAAAAATGTTATCTAATTCATTTTGTGTTAGAATGTGTTCATATTTAATATTATTACATCTAAAGTTTTTTTTTAAATTTTCAATTTCTTGGGGCGTAAAGAAATACTTTGCATATTTATTTACTAATCCTTGAAAAACACACATTGTAGCACATCCATTAAATGCATGTGTAATATCATCATTAAGTCCTTCATTAATGTCATCTAATGCTATAAGTAATTTTCTGTCTTCATTCAAAAGATATAGTGCATTACCCAATTTTTTAAAATTATTTATGAATTGGTCCCAATATAGTGTTTTACAATAATCAATTCTCAGTGCCTCATAGGCATATACCATTAGCAAAATCGCAAACTTAAAAATTCGATCACTCATGATTTTTATTGCTTTTTTGAGAGTGAATTTAATATCTCTCCTGTGGATTGTTGAATTAAGAATGAATTCGTAAATTGGTGTATTGGGTAGTATAGGAAAATACGATTGAACAAGTTCTTCTTTGACATATTTCCATAATGACAAATTCTCGAGGTTTTCTAGTTGATTTCTGGTTACTTCATCATAGACCGTATGATTTATTAAAGATGTATTATTGTCTAGTTTACTGGTCTGTTAAAAATAAATTAAATTTTGTATAAAATCATACTTAATTACCTTCCCATATTAATAACATATTTAAAGGGTATATCTTAAAACATTTAAGGCTGCAAACTTTAAGTTTATGTTAAAAACTAAAATACATTTTTTTATGAGTTTTTATATAAAAAACAATGTCATCGAATTTGTTTACCCCATACCAGTCTACTGCTAGTGAAATCAGAGAAACTTTAGTGCTGAATAAATGACTAATGTGGTCATCAAATACAAATGTAGATACACGAATAGTCAGTCTGTAGCAGTTGACATATTATAAATAAAAATCAAATTGTAATATCTATCAATTATAACTTTAATTTCACTTGTATAATAAATCATAACGCCCTGTACTTTTGGGACACTTAACTATAGTGAACTTCAATATAAATTAAAATCATATAGAATTATTTATCTATATCATACTGCGCTCGCGTGAAATTGTATAATAAGAAAATTCGTAGGGGTGTTTTTATTTTAATGCATATTGTTAAAATGTAACTAAATTGTTATATTTTCACAATACAAACAAATGATCAATTGATGTCTTTAAATAAATTTTGCTATATGCTTGTAACTAAAATATTAAACAGCAAACGAATATATATTAAATAAAAATAATACGCGCACATAGTGAATTTCATTGATAGTAATATTTACCATTATTATGCCCTTGAATGACATTGTGCATAAAAAACTTTTTGAAATAATAATAAAAAAATTTATCGATAAATATACAAATTTGATTTTAGCCATCAACACAATAAAAAGAACGGAATAAAGAAACAACATTTTCAAATTAATCAAATAATAATTTTTATTGAGTCATGTTTACAGCCAGCATTTATTTTTTTAATAATGATTTGAAAATTATTTCACAACATTATTTTTTTAAATTTCTGTCTGGGACGTAATGAGTCATGTATTTACTTTAAATTACATTTTAATGGGGAAAGATTTAAATTATTAATTAAGTGCACGCGTAGACATATTTATAAACTCACTTGAATTTTAATTATTTTGAATCTAATTGCCTTGTTTATTTCAAACATAAATGACTCTAGTTTTAGATTAGTTTCTTCTACTGTATTAAAAATAATTTTTAGTTTAGTTACATGGAATTTCTTTTTGTCATGATGAGACATTAATATGTTTCAACAGATGACATAAGGATTTATTAAAACGGCCTATACTTACCGTTGTATTCGAAAATGTTATCTTTTCCATTGTAATTTAAAATAATGTGTTTTTCTTCGAATGTCTTAAAAATATAAATAACAATGATTATTAAAAATAAAATGAATTTAAATTTTCTGGAATGTTAATAAGTATAATTGAATATTTTTTCATAAAAAAATGTTCGTCCATAAAATGTTTAGAAAACAACAAAAACGATTCTAAATTTTAAATATTTGTTCCATTTAGGTTTTCTATAAGTTCTAATAAACCAACTACAGTAATTTCGACATGATAAAATGTTTTAAAGTATGCTATAAAATGCTGATTAATCTGTTCATACTAAAAATCTCAAGTATCTTTTTTACATAATGTAATTTAATCCAAATGACTTTTTAATAAAAAAACGGTTCAAAGGGATATGACATAGTGTTAACCTAACATAACTGATAATGATTAACATTATTATTAAGATTATAATTTATCGAATTATTTTTGTTAAAAAAATTATTTATTCGGAACAATTGTTTAACCTAACAAACTATATATAATATGTTTGTTTATTAAGAATATATTAGATATCGATTATGATGTTTTCGCGAAACCTAACCAGGCAAAAAATCCTTCTTCAGAGCGATAGTTAATCGTTTGTTGGTTGTAACAGTAAAGTTGGCTTAGTATGAATACGGTTTGGTAACTTTTCATTAGTTCCAGAAAATACGCCAAAAGGAGACACTCGCTATGTAGCAAGCACTACAAAATAATGGATATACAATCAAAAACATAAACAACACACTTAAATAAGCAGAAAAAAGAAAATCAGAATCGAAATTGTACAACGTGCAGCAATGTTGATGAAAATAAAGAAGATGATAATAAAGGAACACAAATACTGTAGTAAATACAAGGAATTACCGACCGCATTTCAAAAATCACAGATAAATTCAAAATAAGAACCATTCTCAAACTGAACAAAGTTTTAGGATAACTACTCCGAAACCAGAAAGGCCATCTATCAGAAATGCAAAAACCCAGAGTTTATGAAATACTGTATTAATATGGTAAGTCATTCATTGGACAAACATGAAAAGAATAAAACAATACGAAAAAGACATAGATTACCAAAGGACAGAAAAATCTACGGTAGTTGAACNTACCAAAGGAAAGAAAAATCCGCGGTAGTTGAATACGCCAAAAACAGTGGACACGAGATCAAAGTTGCACAAAGTCAGAATATTTAACTAAGAACCTCATTTTTTCAAACGGAAGTATAAAGAATCAATTGAAATAAAAAAATGTCCTGAAAATTACAACAGAGAAGATACATGAACTATTATAAGACTTGATTTCCTATGATACACCAACATCAATTAACCATGGTCTTGTGTTATATTACTTAGGGGAAAGTGAACAATTTGATACCTTTAAGCTTTTATTAAACCTATTAAAGAAAATATTCACCATAAGAACTTAAAATTTGGAAAAAAATATTTCTTGATATATTTAAATCACTTGATAAAAAGCTCATTAATTCATTTTAATCGAATTTAAAATTTTAATTTGTTAGAAAGAATGGTCAAATTCGACACCTTGCTCAACACTTGTGTGCAAAGTAAGTTTTATTATTGGGTAAGCTAATATCCATTAGCATAATTAATATTATGCTTAAAAAATGTATTATGTGTATAATAGTTAAGAGGAGTCATCACCTGTCTCCTTAAGAAATTTTGGGAGTATTATATGATTTTTTAATTGGTTTAAGGAGTAATAAAACAAAAAAAATATTTGGAATGAAAAATTTCCATTTGGGATCTCAAAATTTCGATTTATAATTTCCCTTTATATATAAATGGCAGCCACCCAATTGCTCTTGAATATTTATTAGATTTAATTATGTTTAGTAACTGTGGTAATTCAACTAATTATAAGAAAATAATTTATTTGATTATAATAATAATTATTATTTAGCCGTTATTTTATAACGGATTTATAAATTTCGTGATTACTAAAAAAATTACAATTTTGTTTTTGATACCAGTTTTAAACTTCGAATATAAATATAAATTTTATTATTGCAATAACATATTAACAACAAGAAACTTATAGTTAATGAGATTCAAATCCAAGTATATATTTTAATGTTAATTATAAAATAAATACGTTCTACAGAACTTTATTTTATCATTCGCCATTTAAATAATAAAAAAATTAATACAGTATTGACAATTTTATTCTTGATTTCGTTAGTTACATGGTTTTTCAATTTAAAATCCTAGAGTTTTTTTCATGTTCATCTACATTAATGTATCAAAAGCATGGTTGGTAAATTGAGAAAAACATAAAATTTAAAAAAAGATTAAGAATGAAATTTTCAATATTCTATTTATTTTTCGATTAATTAAGTGATTAATGATTTAATAAAATTATGTGCTTGAATATTCAAATGTTATAATAAAATTAACATACGATTTTAATATATATTGTGTCTTTTTTTTTAATGTTTTCATAAATATAGGCATACTGAAAAAAATATAAAAATATCAATAATTTCTTTACTAAATATAAATACAACAATATTAAAGTATATTATTTATATTTATTATTATATAAATCAGTTATTTTAAAAATTTCGTATAGAAATATTAACATGCTCTTCCGTCACAATAAAAATGTACCAGTAAATGTTAAGTTTTTTGTGAGTTTTTTCTATGACGCTGTTTTCTCTCATAGAGCACATTTATGATTTATGATACTTACAAAATTCAAATTAATTTCTGCGAAAATCTCATTTTTATTTTCAATATCCTGGAAATAAAATCCAAAAATATATTTATTCAGTTTGATAATTATCAGAAATTTCATTTCATGTAAATGTTAAAGCGTGATTTGGGGCCGTATCACGAGGTAACTTAATATATATAGCACTGAAGAACGCCATACGGGCTAACGAAATAACGATATGACCGAGGGAATGCACTTTTAGATGTTTTAGAACCGAACTCTTCAATCAACACCTGTTCATTATTCCATGCAGCATGCACGCACCTGTACGGCCGCCTATTATTATTTTGGAGCAGCACATCACTCTACTATTGTCTATTATGCTTTGCGTTACATATTATTTTCATTGATAAAGCTCACATAATATTAAACAAAATGTATGTGTAATCATAATAAAATATTATGATATTATTTTAAATGCTACCGATTATTAAAAGTTAAAGTGTTATGAGTATCACATTTCTAGTTTATAATTTATTCACAACTATGAAAAATATTAATTTTATTGATAATTTTATATAATTTACTGTGTTATATGAAATATATAATAATAATAACCAGTAATATGTATGTAGTTAGTACTTAGTTTAGTTTAAAACATTGGATATAATTGAAATTGTTGAGGAACTAATTATTTAAATTTTTACTGGTTGGAAATTAAACAAATTTTTAATTATTTTACATATTTTTTTTGTTGTTTTTTTATATATTTTTTTTCTTTTATATTTGATTTGAGCAATCTCTTTGGGAGTTGAGAATCTACAATCTCAAGGAGTAAACACTCCATGTAAGACTTATAAAAGTAAAATAATAATGACTTTTACTAATATTTTTAACAATATATATATTATTATTTTATAATGCACAATCAAGCAAGAAATAAGAGTATAAATTCATATTTGGTCATTATAAAATTTGAGAAAGAAATTACCAAGAAATAATATACATAAACGAATGTATATTAGATACATTTGTTTATACCGATTATCAAACAAACGGATATACAGGGTGATTTTTTTATCATAACCCATTCAATTACTTGCAGAATAATAATAATTTAAACATTTTTTTTTTTTTATTATCTTTAGTTACACAGTATTCTTGAATTTCTAACTATGTAATACTTTTTAAGTTCATCACTTATGCCTTAGAGGGGGGTCAACTTTGATTTTTTAAATGGTAACACATATTTTTAATTTAATAAAATGTTTGAGTATTTAATTTAATAGTAAATGGCATTTGAATTTTTAATATAACTTTATTAGCTTATTAGATATAAACATTTAAAGTTTCAAAATTTTGAGTTAATATACATGTATAATACACATGGGATTGTAAATACAGGTAGTTAATTGGATTTTTATGACATTGCTGTCTCAGTCACGGATTGTTTATTATCAATTATGATTATCAATAGATATACTTTCTGTATTGTCAGTTAGTGTATTTATAAACTCATAACAATGTGCCTTACTATCATTGATAATAACAATGCTGTGTACCTGCTAATATCGATGTCATAAAAAATCAATTAGCTACCTGTATTTGTAATTCCTTGTGTATTATACCTATATATTAACTCAAAAATTTGAAACTTTAAATGATTATATCTAATAAACGAATTAAGTTATATTAAAAATTCAAATGCCATTTACTATTAAATTAAAAACTCAAACATTTTATTAAATTAAAAATATGTGTTACCATTTAAAAAAACAAAGTTGACCCCCTTCCAAGGCATAAGGGATGAACTAAAAAAGTATTACATAGTTAAAAATTCAAAAATAATATGTAACTAAAGATAATGAAAAAAAAAAATGTTTAAATTATTATTATTCTGCAATTAATTGAGTGGGTTATGATAAAAAAATCACCCTGGATTATGAAAAAAATAAATGTCATTGCACATTTATCAAATAAAATTAAAAATCCCTTTATCATATATCATTTTTCTACCATTTCGTTCAAATTCGATTTCCAGAGAATCATTATTTATAACTAACCTTAAATTAAACTAGGCGTGAAAAACCTGGTATGTGCAAAAAATGTAAATTAAAAATGTNTGTGCAAAAAATATAAATTAAAAATGTTTATCTCTGAAATAAAAAAATTTACAATAGCAGAATATATTATAGATTGAAAAATTTGACTGTCGAAATGCTCATATAAAATTTATACTCACTATAATGCAAGTTAACTTAGAGCATACACCCACTCAATACATTCATAAAATTAATGTATTATGTAAGGAGTATTCTATGTATCATACATTTATTTATAGTCAATCGGAAATTTGTAATACGCTGTTTGATAACGCCAAGGTCTATTATTCATGTTACAAACTTTTTGTAAAACTGATACACTTAAAACTCACAAAAAATTGTCTTAAGTGATATAATATACTACGTATAAATAAATTCAGGACCGGTGAACTTTAAATTCATACTCAAATTTTTCATGATGACCTTTTTTGACAAATAATTTTTGGAGAAGAATATCTAATTTTAATATCTAATAAGACGGTTGATCCGTCCTGCTGCCCACGAATATAATGTATACTGTGGACTCATATTCGTAACAAGAATGTTTTCTAATGTTACAAAATAAAGCTTTTCTAACAGATTCCCGATCAATAGGCATTTTTATTATATTTGCATTATTATTTACGTGTAAAAATTGAAACACTAAAGTTAAGTCCATCTCCTGTCAATAACAACAATTATTTTACAAAGTTAGATAATCCACTGCTAAATGGTACATTGGTGTGTCGATAAAAAAGTATAAAATAACTGATTTTGATTGTTGGCAAGGTAGCAGCTGAAGGTTGAAGGTAATCGGTTACCGTGATTCAACAAAAAATTCGTCACGTTGTAATGCGACTAGGGACCGACACATGTCGATAGAAAAAATTCATTATTTTTCATAAAAACTGTTTTACGCGGGACTAATTTGTTCTATCTGTATCGATGCTAGAGTCACAAATTTCTTCTTTAAACAAATGACTACTGTAGTTCAACTACATGTTATTTTTGCGTACAATTTTTAATTTTTTTGTATATTTAAAAATAAGTGTTTACCATAGTAATGAGTTCACCAATAAATATAAAATTTACATGAATCTAACGTACATTAAATGTAAATTTAGAGCATTTTGAATATATGAAAACTTGATAATATGTATTGTGGCGGCCGAATGTTCTAGAACGTTCGACCGCCGCCGCCTCTAGAAGATTCTTCGGCGGTCGATTGTTCTGGAACATTCTACCGCCTATATAAGAAGTGGGACCGTTGCTCCTAGTGATCAATCATCAAACCACAGTGTCCAGTGATCAGTCATCAGTTATCATTTTCATAAATTGTTCATTTTGTTCGTTGTTCATTGTTTATAGTTAATCAGTTTAAATTATTATTTGTTATACTGTAAATTTACTGTTGAAATAAATCATATTTCCCACAGTATAAATATTAGAACTTTTTAAATATACTTTCAAAAATTTTCCGGGAATACTGCGTCTTTTAAAAAAAATTTTTATATATTAAAAGTTCAAAAAAAAAAAATTGTATCTACCAGCCAATAAATTTCTGATGAATAATAACAGTAATGTAATGTATGATATATCGCGCAGGGACATACCGTTTAACTTACTTATTTATTTACCATTTTTATTATTATGTGTCTATTAATATTCGAAATAATTCTTGTGAGATTGAATCATCTATCCACAGATCTAACAAGCACTATGTATATCTATAGCTATACTTATGGACCAATCAGTTTTCCATATTGATTTGTCCATGAACTCTCTGCATTATACACGAGAGATTATAAATATTGGTAGCTAATTGGTTTTTTATGATATCGCTATTACAGATACAAAGCGTTTATTGTAATTCATTATTTAATCAACAGATATGCTTAAAGTGTAGTTGAAAGGCACATTATTGTGAATTAAAATTTAAAAATACACAATATGCAATACAGAAAACATATCTGCCGATAGTCATCATTGACAATAAACGCTCCATATCTGTAAATAAGCGACGTCATAAAAAAGAAATTAGTTACCTGTATTGTAATTCTTTGCATATTATACATGTAAATAAGGTCAAAAATATGAAACTTTAAATGATTTTATCTAATAAACAAATAAAGTTATACTAAAAATACAAATGCCATTTACTATTAAATTAAAAACTCAAAACCCGTGTTCCTCTATTATTAAGGTTGTTATAATGTTTACTCAAAATAATTCTTACCAATATTAAAGGACCACACATTAAATATTTCTAAAATAAAAGATTTTACGGTAGAATGTTTTTATTAAATATTACAAAATGATAAAAGTGTCTAGATGGTAACAATAGACAATAAAAGCTTACTTTTGAAGTTTTCAAATAATATGTCTCCGTTATTCCCATAGCATCATAACACTATAATATAACCGTTGAATACTAATATTATTAATTTTAATTTCAAAAAAGTTGATTCCTAATATTTATTGACATTTAATAATGAGTTAACTTACATAATCATATGGGCCGTATTTATTATTTACTATTATTTCTTCCTAAATGAAAAAAAACAAATTTGAAAATTTTATATAAAAATTTGACATTTATAATCACAAAAAATTATTTATTTAAAAAATAATAATATAAAGTGTATATGAAAAATAAAACTATATGAAGACATTCTTAGTTCTAAGAATACACAATAAAAACTTACTTTTGAAAGACTGGAAAAATCTTTCTCCGTAATCCACATAGATACTGTATGCTATTATATAACCATTAAATGTTAATATTATTGACTTAAATTTCAAAATAGTTGATTCATAAAATGTATTGAAGTTAATAAATATAATAACCTACATGACCAAATTCATTTTTTTTATTATTATCTAGTATCACTTTTTCCTATAAAAAAAAACCATATTTGAAAAATTTAAATAGAGATTTGATAATTGTAATCACAGTTAGCATTAACAGTTATTTATTTAAATAATAATACTTTAAGGTGTATACGAAAAATAAAACTATATAATGACTTTCTTAATTCAAAGAAAGTGTTAAATTTTAATAAGTGTTTTATACTAAAAATGTCACTCGAAAATTAATAAAAAGTATCTATACTAAACAATTAAATTAAATATAATTTAATAAACTATTTAAATTACCGGGTCAATTAAAAGTATATTTCCAAAAACTTCTTCAAAAAAATGTCCACATATAAAAATTAATAAAAAAATAAATATTTTGTAAAACATTTCACAAGAATATTTAGATTTATATAATGTAATTGGCTGACTTATAACTTTGAATATAGTTTATTAAATTTTCGCATTTTTATAGGTATTAATATAAATAAAATGTAAATAAAAAAAAACAAATATTAAAAATAAGCTAAAATTATTTTAAAATAAAACCATACTAACATATTTTTCACATCATCTATGACAATAATATATAAATTATATTATTTTATTTATGTATGACGTGTAATAAAAATTGATACTTGCTTTTACATTTTTTAATTTAAAAGAGTAACTAATTGAATGAGTTTCAATGTAACACAATAAATAAATTTTAACATTTTTATAATATGCTTATTAAATATTATTAGCTTCGATGCGAAAATGAGATAATATCAAATTTACTATGATGTGTTTAATTTTTTTTTGTATCTGTTACCACTTTTTCTTAGCCTTTCATTTTTTTTTATAAATCTGACTCTTTACCTACTAACAGAGAGGTATTTAAAATGCCAACTTTTTCAAATTAACTTTTGAAAGTGTTCCGGAAATACTGACACTTTTATATATATCTTAAATTAATGCTAATGTAATGTACTTTATTATGGAAAATAAAAATTTCGGACTTTATTTTGTCTTTATTGTGAAAATTGCTACCAAATGCTATTATTGTATGAAAATTCTCGATTTTATTTTTAAAATTTTTAAATTTATAATGCTATAACTTAATGAATAGTGTATGGATCAATACATATTTTTTATGAGAAATAATATTTATATCCCTCTTTCATTCGATATACTTTTTCTTAATCAGGATATAAATAAGGAAATAGCAGATCATATAGCTTTTGGTATAATCCACCAATTTTTTAAAACTAAACACTATCTAAAGATTTGTATCGAAGCGTTTTTAATGATATTGTAACGTGACAAAAGTATCTATTTATTTTTTTTGTCTATTTGTATATATATATTTGTGTTGAGCCGAATGTGGACTGCGACGGCGTTTGTCAGTAAAATTATCATGATAAGTTACTGTGATTTCTTTATGCGCTTGCGAGATAGTCAGCTGTGTACTACTTCAGACCGGTTCATGGACGGCATTTGTGTGTACATTCACCCCGCTCCTTTCCTATCTTGAACGTCATTTGCACTGCTCACCGCATACATTGTCGCCATATGATTTAAATTGTTTTTAATAATTTCCGGCACAGGGTATTAAGTTTTTTTTTGACCCCTACTCCAAAGGCTAGCCGTGTTGTCGCCAACGGACCGCCGGGTCAAACGTCGGACGGGTTGTCGGAAATTAGCCATCATCGGAACTGGTTGTCGCTAATTTTCGTCCGTAGCGTGAGTTTTTTGTTGTTGTGTGCGCTGCAACATTTTAAATTTATAGATATATTTTTTCGTGAGTATCCGATATTTTTTGAGTATGTAATTTTTAATTTATGGCGTCGGCTATTCCTACCTCCATTTTCTGTAGCCCTTCGGTTATGTATATTTTAGTATTTAATGTTTTGACCCAGTTTTTTTTTTTTAGTGCGCCGTGCCATAAGCACGCGTGGCGAATTTTTTTGTATTCTTTATAGTTTTTTTTGTGTAGGTGCCCCTATATTTTTTTATTTAGGTCCCGCAACATGGCAAGCGTGTTACAAGACCAGCTGTCATGTTATATGCATATTTTTTTGTGATTTTTTTTATAGGTTTTATATTATATTTTATGGGTGATATGTATATATTATTGGTACAATGTGGTGACGTAGTGCATTTTATTCCGAGGTGTCCCAACGTCTTGCAAGCCAATTCTAACTGCCTAAAACCAGTCACTTATTTGGGACGTATACCCGCCGTGCTTAGCGGCAATACCGCGATTAATAGCCGGCGGGTACCCGAAGACGTTCATTGTATTCTCTAATAATAAAAGTGTAGGTGTAACTATTTTTTTGTTAATACCTGTTTTTTTTTCTTTTCTCTCTTTTCCCCTTTAATTTGTAGACGAGGTTTTTTGACCATTCGGTTTTTGCCTCGTAGTAACTTAATTTTTTTTTTGTTTTTTTTTTTTTACTTAATAAAGTCCCCTTAATTTAGCTTAACTATCATATTTTTCTTTTTTTTTTGCGTGTTCCATCTTCAATGGACTCGTGTATTTTTTTCTTTTCAAAAATCATCTCCCCTTAGTTTATAAGGTACGGGCAATGGCCTTGTATAAGGTCATCCCTCATTGATATGGTTATGTGACAACTGTCACGAGGTTTTGGTGTACATCTACTATCAACGACTCAACGGACATCAACTTTAATATCTATTAATTTTATATTTTTGTTTAATTGTTTTAATATACAAAAGTTAATTTTTTTTTAAATCCTACTATGGTCCGACATTATACTCTCTCGCCCAGTAGGTTGGCGACCCTTTTCTTGTAATTTTTCAATGCGCCATGAAAGTTACAAATTTTCCATTGGGTCCAATTAATTTGAATTTTTTTTTATATATCTAACCTTTCAATATTGATTTTAATTATAATTCTCTTTAATGGGAACTCCTATTTTTAACTTTATAATTTGATAGAAATAAAATTAGAAACAATTTTGTTCTTACAATTTTATTTATCCGATCAACCGTTTGCGTTACATGTTATTTAAAGATTTGGATGTCAAGTAAAAATTCATCATTGATTTGGTTTTATAATACTGATGGCAGCAATAATCTATTTTGATAACGACAATATATTATTTCTATCTCTCATTTAGTCAACCGATGTGGAAAATTGTTTTTGATAACCACTATGGTAATCAATAAATGGGCTATTATGACAGATTATTGCCACCACGACAGCAGAAATAATACCGATTGCAATGTTATCAGTATAGTAATACCAAATCAATGATAAATTTTTACTTGAAATCCAAAGCATTAAATAATGTGAAATAACACAAACGGTTGATCGGTGACAAAAATTGTAAGAATAAAGTTGTTTGTAATTTAAATTTCTACTATAATATGAAGTTAAAAAAAGGGGTTCTTATTTAAGAAAATTATAAATAAGGGTTTTTATCCCTGATGAAACGAAAAAAAAGATTTTGTTTGTTTTTAGGTTGCTTTTACCACAGTATTTTATTTTGAAACAGTGCACAGCAAGCACTTCTGTGTGACCGAGTCGATCACACCATCTCACTTTTTACTACAATATGATCAAATATAAAGATATTTTAGTTAAAAAATATTATTTCATTTTATGACAATTGTTAAAGTAATTTAGTTTTAAGCTGCATATTAATAATTTTAAAAAAGTCCGATTGAAATTATTTTTCACAGTTTTGCAAACATACAAAACTGTAAGAGGACATAAATTATCTTGAACTGAGTCACGCAGTTATTATACTAGTTCATTTCATTTTTAAATAGAATATTATTTCAAATACCTATAGGAATATTCGTTTGAATTATTATATCAAATCTAAAAATTATTTTACATTTTATTTATTCAATAAAATACATTATTCAGCCGCAAAGATTCAAATATGATGTAAAAAAATTTGAAATACTCATATTTTGTATTGTAAAACTATATTTTTCTCAAAGCATTCCTAATAATTAGAAATAATTTATAACATAATTATTATGTTCTAATTTCAAAAGCTCCGTATACTTATTGTAATATTATATTATTACATATAATATTAACATATAATATGATGTTATCAGTTGTACATGTATCACATATCATGATTATACAAGATCACCAAAACAGGGTTCTCTTATTTAAGATACAAAATAACCCTTTAATTATACGATAAAATCTCCCTCTTGTAGAAATTATTAAGTAACGCCTACACGCAGATACCCCATTTTAATTAACCAATTAAAATACAAAGCCTCAGCTTCCAGGATCACGGTAGAGATCGCTGGGCTACCCCCTTCAGACTATAAAAAGCCATTTCCCCCCATCTAAACCAGTTCTTTTGACGATTTTAAAATACACAATATCTACGACACTCTCCTCAAGATTTCACTCTCCGGGACTTAGTCGTTTTTTTAAATATTTTTCTTTAAAACTAAATGACACTTAGAAATTTTAAAGTGAATTTTGTTTTGTTGAATCTTTTAATTTAATTTAATTTGTTCAATCATTAATAATATTTTATTATTCTTGTTGTGTAAATAAACATCAAATAATATTTTAAACATTACATCTTTTTAAAATTATTTTATTTTAATAATAAATCCAACCTAAATTTTGATTTTTATTTAATAATAAAAATGTATTGTGAACTTTTCTTATCGGGTAGCTAGTCTCGTTGCTAATGTCTTTGTTTTAATAAACATCGCGCCGGCAGACAACGCAAAGAAACTTACGAATATATTTGCAGTGTTTAATTTTTGTCTTGGTGATTATTATGCCGCTTCCTTTCAAGGTGCTATATTTTAGCACCGGGACACATTGGGCCACCACAATTCCGCCTTGATAAATTTTTTACATAGATATAGATATTTCTGAATCTTGTTTTGGCCAGGCCAGAGGAAAATTTAAGAAATATTGGTGTCGATCTCTCAATAAAATATACTCTCTAAAAAAGCACTTATTCAACAGACGTAAAAAAAATCAATAAGTAAAAAAATTAAAATTGTATTTATAATAAAATATAGAGTGTTTGGAATCATTCATAAGTAAGACCAGTTGTAGACTTTGTGTAATTAAATCATATTATTTAAAGTCTTGAATTGTTTTTTGTAACTAATTATATAGACTATATGACGTATAGTGTAAATCGTATACCGTTGTACGTTTAACGCGGAAATCAACACTGGATTACTTGAACTATTATTGTATTACATAAGACGTAAGGTAAATACAATTTAACCTATGCTTTCGAACCTCCAACAATCTATTGCGTGATAAACCATTAATAATTAATGAGAGAAACAATTAATTAAAATAAAATTGAAGACAATTAAATCTAAAAAAAAAACTTATAATAAATAATAATTATAATAATTTACTAAGTACTAACAATTATTTTTATATTTAACTTATGCTTTCTCTTTCTCAGTTTCTTTTCTATCTTTTTATTTTTGGTTTATT